TTTTTATAAAATATTTTTAAATAATATTTTATAATCTATTTCAGATAATATATCAATAGGAGTTGGGGGCTATCCAGAAGGCCACCCCGATTGTCCAACAATTGAGGAAGATATACAGCATCTCAAAGAAAAGGTAAAGTTATTATGATTTTATATATTTTTATAAAAGTATAATATAATATAATATAATATGTGAGCAGTGTCTGAGTTACATTATGGTGTTACCATTTATAGGAGAAAGTACGCTCGATATCAGAGATAATTTATATATTTTTATAAAAATAATATGGAAGTAGTCAGAGTTAAATTGGCAAAAAAAAAAAAATAAAAATTAAAACATATAAACATATAAACCTCCAAATTTGAAAAAAAGAATTAATATCAAAAAGCACTATTTATAGTTTGTATATTTTCCAAAGTGCTTTATTGTTGCCTTTATTATGCATCATAGCAGTACTATTTTTAAATATGAAAAATTTGTCCCTTTTACATATTAAAAATAATATTATTTAACATTTGGAAATTTGGTAAATAATGAGCCAAGGTCACTCGCATCGTTAAGGACCTTCTTACACCCGATTGCGTAACGCTTCCCTCAACATTTCAGCTCACAATAACTAAAGTAAAATATGGAAATAATGGCTTCTGGTACAGATTACATTTACCTTGCCATTAAATGACTTATATTGGAATGATCAATTACTGACTGATTACTTTTGCGATAAGGTCACATCTTTTCTTTTTCCAAAAATATTGTGCAAAATCTTACTCTCTCCTAATATCATATCTTACTGTAATATAAAATATAAGATACTACAATATATACATAATCTTACTATACATAATGTAATACAATAATGTTTATTATATCTAAAGTCGAAATTATAATTATTAAGTGACTACCAACTGACGGCTTGATATGTATGTTATGGTGCAAGAAGTCAATACTCGATGCTTTAATACTTGCAATAGTTTCTTGAAGACAAGCAATTTAATTTTTTACGGGACCTAATATAAGCTACACTAATGTTATTTATTCTTTGTGAATATCAGATCCTGTAGCTTTCTAATTGACTAAGGAAATAATATCTTTTTATTTCTTTTTATTTTATATTTTTGTATTTTCCTGCAATATAAGTGGTCTATTCAAAATTAACTCAACAATTGCTTCTATAAAGCAATGAAAAATTTATTCTAGTGGAATTTGCAGTTTGATGAAGCTTTTATTTTCCTCTCTTCTCTTATAGTATAGAAACATTGGTTAATGGTTTGTAATGTTAAAGTTCTATATCAAATCATTTACATATAGTATATGTTCTAAAGGTCAGTATGTTATAGTATATGAATACTGAAGTCATTTTCTAAGTTTTTTGTATTCATCTGTCACTCACTTTGGCTACTTATGCCTTTTAAACTCACTTGTTAAGTGAATTAATATTTATTATTTTAAATAATATTCTTCTAATCATAATTCCAACATTTCTTACAAATTACATGAGCTTCAATGTTGAATATCAAATTTATTCATTATGATTATATTGATTTACAGTTTTAATAAATAAATTAACTGTTCAATTCAGATCATTAAATATAAGCCGATAATTGTAAATACAATACTTAGACTTGAATGACATGATATACTAGGGTCCTTTAAAAGCACGAGTCCATGGTAAATAAACCTAGTAGTTCATATTTACTAGTTTCTATTTCACTAGTTGTTTTTAGAAAATTAATTTTATTGAACTTCATATACCATAGCTTGTATAAAAATGGTTTCAAAAAAAACTAACCTAAAATTGCTCGGTTAAACGCAGTTTCTCGACTAATTGAACTAGGATAGTGACATTTTTAAGAATTAATTTATTTGTGATTTTCTGTAAATACTTTCTTATGATATAGTTTTAAATCTCATGTATGACTAACTGAACTATCGTATACATTATAAATCATAATAGCTCGGTTAGGTCGTTAAGAAAACTGTCCCCAAAGTTATTAAATCGTAAAGAAGAAGATACACATGACACATGAGGCGGAGATTAGTTCCCTCCTCAACTGCGGAACCATAACCTCGACAAAAGTAGACTCAGTTTCATGTCTTTCTATTATGCAGTGACTTGTCAAAACCAATACTGTAGTTCCGAATTGGGTTACAACACCTGGTTGGTGCGTTTTTTGTTTAGTTTAGACCAGATAAATCTAGATATCTGACAACTGGGTACGTCTACAAAATTTTGCTTTGCTATACTCAGATATGTTTTTTTGATTGCCAATTTAACTGTTGAAAGTGGGACATCAATATCTGAACAGTGAAGATCAGGAAGCAGAATGTCTGCAAACTCGTCCGCTCTACAGTTGTGCGCGATATTCTTGTGTCTAGAAACCCATGTGCGTTTCTGCATAAAATAGTTTAGTTTTATTTCTTCAGTCAGCCAAGCTGTCTTTAAATCCCTGGTAGGTACTACAATCATATTTCTAAAAATTCGAAAATTCTGTGCTGTGTCGAGAAATCCATTTGCGTTTCTGGATACAGTTCAAACTGCCATTAAATTCTAGGTATGCACTACAGTCACATCTCTAAAAATTCGAAAATGCTGAGCTGTGTACTGAAATCCATGTACGTTTCTGGATATAGCCGAGCATTCTCGATTTGTTAGAGTTGTGGCTGTAGTGCCTAATAGTGATTTAATGGCAGCTGGGTTGTCCGAAAAAATAATAATAAACTATTTTTTATTAAGGTTTTATTTCTAGAAATTATGTTAATCGTTAAGAATTTATAAATTTGTGTGTTGGTTTTTTTGTTTATAGAAAAATTGCACTCCGTCACAGTAAGAGCTGTACACCATATATATTTCAATTAATTTATTTTTAAACAAAAAGAAAAAAAAAATAAATTTAGTATAAATATTTATAATGTTATCTGTGAAATAATAATATTTATTTAGAATTTTAAAATTAACTTTAAATAAATAGTGCAGAAAATTACTATAATAATGAAAATTATCTTATTTCTGAATAATTATTTTGAATTTTTTTTTCCGACAATATAAGTTTTTGTTTATTTAAAATTTACGAATTTTTAAATAATTCTGTGAATCCCCTGAATATTTATTTATTTTTTTTTTCAATGTAATTTTTATAATAATACAAATACTGAGTAAAATAAACTAATAAAATCAAATAACTTACGGTGTAGTAATACTTAATAACGATAATTATTAATTAAGCTCAGAAAAGAATGAAGCAATGAACTTTAATTATTACTAATGATAATTATAATTATAAGTTTACAACGAGAATTTTCTCGCTATTTCCAGCTGCAATTACAGTCGTCGAATGAAATTGCAATAAATTAGACACATAATTTATACGATTTTAAAATTGATTACCGGTAATTATTATTTACTTAACACCTTTTAATGTAACAATTAATAAAAAAAATAAATAAAAATTAAGTCCACAGTATTTCCAAGTCCATGTAACCGCAGCATAGAATATTGGATTTCTCGTTCCAATTTGTTTGCTGAGCAAACTTAACAGTCAAACTACAAATGACTTTTTCTTCATTTGATGCGGCTTTGCTCTTGAAATATTAAAAAAAAAAAAAACAAAAATTAAAATTAAATATTAACATTTCTAAAAAATTCCCCTGTGGTACTTTTGACCAAAAATATTAATTCTTCATTTAACACAGAAAAATTAGTAGAGAAAAAACGACTAAAGGAGCAATTTTAGTTGAAGTTGTTAGTCTAAATTCAGCCAAGAAAACCGGAAACCATTTTTTTAGTATTTAAACAACAGACTTTGCTTTGTTTATTTTGATTTTAATTTTATTTAAAATTTTTGTAAATCCCCTCTTCACATTTATTTCTTTATAGGTGAATGCAGGTGCGGATTTTATAATCACTCAACTTTGCTTCTCGGCGGAAACTATAATTAATTTCATTAAAAATTGTCGGGAAAATGACATCAACGTTCCTATCATCGTCGGTATTTATTCTCCAGAAAACTATCGTACCCTAATACGTTTAATGGAGATAACTAAAGGTAAATTGGGTGACGCGGCATTGGGGGATTCCATAGGAGACTTCGAAGTCGTCTTTATTAATCACATTTTTAGAAAAAAAAGATTACATTTCTTATTATTTTTTTTTTTTGCAGTTACAATGTCTTCCGAACAAGTTGCTGAGTATAGACAACATAGACACAATCCAACAAAATTTCAGGAGTTTGCAGTACAGAAGACTTTAGAAATGATCACGGAAATATTCGATAGCGATATTGGCGTTTATGGCTTGCAATTTTTTTCACTTAATAAATTTAATAATATTAAAGCAATTTTACAAGAAATGAATGCATTGGAAAATAGAATTGAATGAATTTAAATAAAATAAAAATAAAAAATAAAAAATAAAATAAAATAAAAAATGGAGTTTAATAATTAAAAAATAAAAACATATTTTAATTAATTTAATTATTCTGGTTTACGATTTCGTTTTAATATAACACAGCAACCGATTTTGTTAATAAACTTTTGCAGCTAATTAACGAAATTCCAAAGTGCGAACATATAAGACAAGTACCGCTTTGGGGCAGCTGGTTAATGAATACAGACTCTGAACTTCAAATTTGGCAGGGCATGAGTTCAACCCCTAGTACTTGCAGTCTCAAAAAAATTATTTACGAATAATTAAATATAAGAAATAATTCCAAGACA